AGTGTCTAAGATGGCCCACCCCTATGCCCAAGGTGTACGCTTATGACCAGCACTGCCCGTTCTTTACTCTCGCGTGCAACGAGCCTTACGTCTGACTAATCTGGCTGATCAAGAGGCAGTTTAAGGACAACCCCCAAGGTCCTTAGGAATTATTTAACGTCGCAATCAGGACGACGATCACAGCAAGTGGACAGATCAGACACCCGCCGGAAATGTTTATAGACGGTCTGGATAGCGTCTGCAAAGGACTGGCCAGTCCGCACATGCAGCAAAGAGCCTCAAAGGACGAAGCAGCATGGCCTGCGTATACTACTCCCATGGGTTGGCATGGTGACCATGACCCGTGCTTCGACCAGGGCCCTTCAGAGGCACCGCCCTCTCCTGCCAGATGCGCCACCGGGAAGAATGTCGTCTCTCAAGATAGAGCGCTCACGACTCCTCACAAAAAAGAGAGGACACTCAAGGTTGGACTCGCTTCCTCAGAAGAGATCGAGAGGGTAGATAAGGTAAGGGAACAACGTACCTAGAGATAGCTGCCCCCAACCACAGATTTCTCACCAATTGAGCCGATGTGCATTTCTATGACCGGTCATAGCTTTGGTACCACCCACAATGCAATACAGTGCCACCTCAACCAAAATGCAACATCCGCATGCTCTCATCATCATACATAGCTTTGGCAAGCCTGATGAAGTTGCAAACACCTCGAGTTCTTGATACAGATGTCGTAATTGATACAGATGTCAAACCCTACCGAGACTGTTTGATGGCGCCACCTCTACGGATGATGAAGTTATTGATACAGATGTCGTAATTGGCAGCTCAGTCATTGCGGCCTCTGTCTGTGGAGCCACCATTGCCCCTGTTGTTGCTGCCAATGATGGTATTGTTGTCGGAACGGACACTGCTGCAGATACTGCCGATGTAGTTGAGGTTGCTGCCAGTGCCGCTAACGACGTTATCGAAGGAATTGGTGATGTTAACGATGTTGTCGATAATAATGGTTCTGCCGCTGCCACCCGTGTCTCAATATCTGGCAAGCCACCCGCGTGTCTCCGCGCTAGAAGGCCTGCGAACATATCTTGGACCTGCTGCAGCATCTCAAGGCAGTCGTAGAAAACGGCAATCGCGCGCGCTTTGTCGATATCTTAGTGGAGGCAGCCCCATGGAAACCTGGAGAATGGGGAATCAAGATTCAAGAAACAAGCCCTTTGAGAGCCTTCCAATTCTCCCACATGCAACAAGGCTCACACACCAAGGCCACCTTCCTCTCCTTCCCAATCTCCACGACTGCCATCAATATGCCGATTGTCTTGAACAGCGACGTCGAGTCGGTACTGTTGGATTCTTTCCTACTCAGAAAGATAAGAGTCCTCGGCTCATGGCCTGCCGTCAATATGCCGACTATCTTAAACAGCGACGTCGAGTCGGTAGTCTTGGATTCTTTCCTACTCAGAAAGATAAGAGTCCTCGGCTCATGGCCCAAATTAATTTTCAGACCAGACACAGCAATCCACAACTTAGAGTTTGATCCAGCGGAATGGGCATGGACACCGGACAAGACTAAGAATATCAAAGCCAAAATCCCAATTCAAGATTATACAGTTAAACTAGGGTATAGACTATCACTGAAAACCAAGGACCCTGACCCTATAATCAAAAGAAGATGGCACAATCTACTCGGCCAAGAGGCAGACAAAATCACACAGTTTCAGTGGAAAGAGTTCAAACTCATCAGGCCAATCAAAATCCGAAGCTTACAATGGCTAATCACCTACGCAGCATTACCAGTGAACCAATGGCTACACAAGAGGCGTAAAAATTCAGACCCTAACAGCTCAGAATTATGCATGATCTGTAATAATGGGACGATAGAGGACGTGATCCACTGCCTAATACATTGTAGAGAGGCGACAGACTACTGGGCAAAAGCATCAGCACTCTGGAACTCCCTTTTCACAACTCCCGAACATCCCCTCCAACCTCTCCTCTTGACTAACATCCCTCAACAGGTTCAGAGGACAGAAAAAAATTGGTTCGGTCTCATCAGAAAGACCACACTATGGGTCATATGGAAGGAAAGATGCAGCAGAACGATTGAAGGACTGTCCAACTCACGCGAAAAAGTGTGGATAGAGACACAAGTGATGATACAAGCCGAAATCCTCTGCAGATGGAGGAAACCAAGCACGCGTGGACAGAAGACGAGGAACAACGAAGGAAGGAGAGATCGACCTTCAGCAAAAACTGGTTGATAAACGGCAAGGTTGCAGAGCTACGAGAAGATCATATTCACTGGAAAGATTGGCATAATTCAATCCCAGGAAGGAGCCACCAACAAGAGACAACTGCTGAAAGACAAGATGTTTCATGATTAGGCACCTAAGATGAATGGCCAAGACAGGAGTAAGGGTGYCATAGAAGCTTGACAGTAGTTGAAGATCTCTGCCGGCCTGGGAAGTTTTTATCATCAGACAAGGGTTTAGGGTTCAGGGTTTTTCGAGAAAAGGGGCTTAAGGAACAGACCAGAGATGGGTTCAGATAAACTAAGGGACCACAGGAGAGGGGGAGAAGGAAGAAGGGAGAAGGAGGGGAGAAAAACAAAACAGGAGAAGAGGAAGCAGCCAGGTAGGAGAGATATAAAAGGAGAAAAGGTAAGATGGGATAGGGGGTATAGTGGATCACAGGCAGAACGGTTAAGTGTGAGTATAAAGGCTAGCTTGGACAAATGAGGGAACTCTTTCTAGGTAGCGGGGTTGTATCTGACAGACCTGATTATCAGAGCTGAGAGGAAAGAGTGAGGCACGGCAAGCTGACAATAAATCCTCCATCAAGGTGGAGCAATCAATGCTGATCAGGGATCCTTCGGCCAGACGGAAGGAAGCGTGGGAGTTGTATGTTTATTGTAATGTCTATTCTGACTTGCCGGTGGAATAGGAACCGGACTGCCGCTCCCCAGAATGGAAAGGAGCCAGGACCATAAGGCCCTGTTTTAAAAAAAATAAAAAAAAATCGATGTTGTTCAGTTTATTTTTCTGCATAACATAGTTTTTTTTTCGGATTTTTTTTGGATTTTTATTTATTTATTTATTTTGGCTGGGACCTTCCCTATTCCTTGCACGGCCGGGCCGCCCAGGAAAATAGGGTGACCTCAGACCTGGGCAGCCCGGCTGGTAGCCTAGGTAGTTACTAGTTACGAGTTTGGTGATTAGGGACTGGATTTCTGACAGTAACACGACTGGATTTTCATCCGAGTCACGGTCTGAGCGCAGAGGACAGAGAAGAGCATTTGGCTGAGGCCATCGAAACGACACAGCAAGGATGCAACAGCTGGAAGGCATGCAGTTGGCATCCAGCCTATTAGCGGATGTTCTACTGGCGGAGAACTGTCTGTAAAAGAGCTGCGGAATAGTCTGTGTATGGCCTGAACAGGGGGACTGCTAATTGTGCTTTTCAGTGAGTTCAGTTGTTCTCAGCCAAAGCCGGGTAATGGTCCTGGTATCTCAGACGTTTGTTCTGTAAGGCATCCGGCCTCTTAGTGGATATCAGCTCCAGAGTAGCCTGTGTACAAGCTGAGGGGAATAGGACTGCTAATTGTGAAAAAGTTTGTTCAGAGAGTTCGGTTGTTCTCAGCCAAAGCCGGGTAATGGCCCCGGTATCAGTAAAAATGTTCATAAGGGAAGCTGGCCCGGTTCCCAGCACGTGATGCTCCCCACGAATAGATTGGAGCATGTTCTTCTTTATCGTGGCCTATTTTTCCTTCTGCTGTTTATTGCGGCCTATGCTGCTACTGCAGTGCTATGTAAACTTTTCTTTTTTGGGAGGGAACATTGCTCCAATCTATTCGTGTGGAGCTTCACAGGCTGGGAACCGGGCCCAGCGTCCCTTTTCAACTTGAAAGGTTTGGGAAATTTATGACAATTCAGAAAGGTTTGGGAAAAATCTATTCGTGTGGAGCTTCACAGTCTAATGAAAAATTGATGACGATTAAGGGATGGGAGAAAATTTACTAATGCAATTATGCAAGCTAAAACACCTAACTCCCCCTCTTCAACCAAGCTACCATTCGACCCCAATCCGCTCTTCAGCAAGACTTATCACTGACAAGCCACCATCTTGTACGCTGCTTGCCTACCAACCATCCAGAAAGCACAAAAATAATACCCGGACGCGAGATGCCGTCACCTACAAACCACCACTCCACTTAACCTAGGCAAGGAAGAACCAACTTCCTCCCCATCCAGATATATACTTGCTTGCCCCAGATGGCACTTACCTGCCACTCTTGCCCCCAAACAAGATGAGGTAAGCTGGAGTGATCACCAGAACCCTAGCCGACAATCAGGGGGGGGCTCGCAAAAACAAACAAACGCCGGAACTACCCAACCGTCACCGACTCTCTCCACGGCAAAAGGGAAAGGGAGAGATGGTGCACGCGCACCGCACGGGGCACCACGGAAGTGCACCGGAGAGATTAGAGAGTACTCAGAGTAGGGAAAAAATGTTAAAAACTTAAAGAAACTTTAAGAAAGACAATAAACAAGCACTTCCAGAGATGAGAATCGTGGAAGGTGCTCTCACGAAACAGTTACGTAAACTTCAATATTCCTCTCAACTTCTTCTCCTGCTCCACTCCACTCCACTCCACTCCGCATGGGAGCACAGAATCCATGAGAGGCAGACAATCCTCTGCATTTTCTAACCAGCTAAACACGAATCAGTGTGGTAATCTCAAAAGAGTAAGCTCCAATAGATTCTGGGATTGGAAGACTTTGAGAGAAGATGGAAAAAACAAAGGAACGTTTTCCTTCTTTCACTCACAACATGCATTTCCTTCTTTCACTCACAACATGCATTTCCTTCTTTCACTCACAACATGCATTTCCTTCTTTCACTCACAACATGCATTTCCTTCTTTCACTCACAACATGCACTCATAAAGCCAGCCACACTCGACAGAAGAAAAAAGAAGAATGGGTGAGAAGGAAAGACGTACGTACATTAGGTCCAAATATCTTCGGGAAATAAGCTGGAAGAACTCGTCCAAGCAGAAGATTGGCATCTGTGACCGCAAGTTGTCCACCCTTTCTGTAGCAAACCGGCCCCGGGTGTGCCCCCACTGACTCCGGCCCAACCTGCCCAGAAAGACCCCCAAAAAAATGGAGGACAAGGATCAGAGATTTGAGATGACCAAACTTCATCAAAATTTCACTACTCTTGAGACAAATCAAGGTCTGTGGGTTGTCTGTGAGCCCGTGTGAGGATGTTCCAATTCTAACAATCAACACAGGACTGGCGGGCATCTTGGAGTTGCAACATTATCAAAACCTACTAGCTTTTTAAAAGGGGAAATCAGCCTACATAGCCCAGAACAAAAGGGAACTATAGCAAAGACCTCGCAATTGAACTTCAGACTTCTACGGCCTCCCCCCCTCCCACGCCCCCCCAATTTAATGAACTGAACCCGTAGCTCTCTCCCAGCAAGGTTTCATATTCCAGCACCCCGCTCTGAAGCACAAATTTGCAGCGGGCGGTCAGGAAAGCTGGCAAATTCTTCCATTAGGTAAGACGTTGAGAACATGGCTGCTCCCAGAACAATAGACCTTCAGAGAATCAGAATGATACTGAAGGTCAACGCTAGTCATGGGACTGTGGGGGTTCATTACATCTGTTTGCTTTGTGTGGTTGGGGGGCACGGGGGAGAGGGGGCATTGAACTTCATCATGGGGGCAGTGGAGCTAAGGAGCATACAGTACATATGCATTCATGTAGACCAACATCGGGACAGACCAGATTGCGATGGTCTGCTGCACCCAGGACGCATCGTGGAGAAGAACAACCCTGCCCGGGAACCCGCCCACCACAGATCAGCCCTCTCCAGGTCACAAAACACCCCATGGGAGGCTTTTCCTGAACCTCTCTGGAAGTTTGGATGGGGAATTGAACTTCATCTTGGAGACAGCAGAGTTAAGGAGCATACAGTACATATGCATTCATCTAGACCAAATCGTAACAGACCAGATTGCGATGGTCTGCTGCACCCAGGACGCATTGTGGAGAAGAACAACCCTGCCCGGGAACCCGCCGTCCGATGAAGTGGCGAACACCTCGATTTCTTGGTGCTCATGCTAGACACAGCACAGCCCAGCCCTCTCCAGGTCACAAAACACCCCATGGGAGGCGTTTCCTGAACCTCTCTGGAAGTTTGGATGGGGCATTGAACTTCATCATGGGGACAGCGGAGTTAAGGAGCATACAGTACATATGCATTCATCTAGACCAAATCAGAACAGACCAGATTGTGATGGTCTGCTGCACCCAGGACACATTGTGGAGAAGAACAACCCCCTGGCCGCACAACCCTGCCCGAGAACCCGCCATCCGATGAAGTTGCAAACACCTCGAGTTCTTGCTGCTCGTGCTAGACACACCACAGCCCAGCCCTCTCCAGGTCACAAAACACCCCATGGGAGGCTTTTCCTGAACCTCTCTGGAAGTTTGGATGGGGCATTGAACTTCATCATGGGGACAGCGGAGTTAAGGGGCATACAGTACACATGCATTTATCTAGACCAAATCAGAACAGACCAGATTGCGTTGGTCTGCTGACACATTGTGGAGAAGAACAACCTTGCCCAGGAACCCGCCATGTGATGAAGTGGCGAACACCTCGAGTTCTTGCTGCTCATGCAATACACACCACAGCCCAGCCCTCTCCAGGTCACAAAACACCCCATGCGTGGCTTTTCCTGAACCTCTCTGGAAGTTTGGATGGGTAGGGTCCTATCCATTGAGCCTGCCCACTTGAGCCATAACAGTGAGTCTTCTGTGAGTTGCTTTAAGTCTACAATCATTCAGCTGAGCACACTACCAGAGCAGGACAGCAGAATGGCGGTGCCTTGGTGTAGCATGACACTTTTTGATGATACCATGTTCTTTGATTAGCAAGTCCTCACAGTATCATTACGGTTTGTGTCTGCATACCTGCTAGTTCTCTCCCTGCAGCACTTTGCCTCACTCTGATTGTGAGTCAAGTTGTGTCCCAGATTCCATTTCATGACTTCCATCTGAGCAAAACCCATGGAGGCCACCGACAACCCCCTCTCTTTATGGTGTGAAATTCATTCTCCAGGCCTGATGAGGCAAATTTGTGATTTGATCATTCATTTAAATCACACTACCTCCGACCCTGTTTTTGCCAAACCTGAAATTCACTGCGCACCGAGTTTTGCCAAGCCTGGGGCCCATCGTTATCTCTTTTGTGGCACTCATGGCAGTGACAGCTGAAACCCCCCCCTCCCCCCCCAAAAAAGGGGAAACTCAGGAGTCACAAAAACGAGTTATAATTGCACTATGGGCCAAGACACAGTTTCAAATTGCAGTTCGGGCAATGTATACAACCCAGCTTTCTGGCCAGGTAGGGTGCCCGAAGTCCAATTGCAAACTGTATCTTGCCCCATGGCACAATTATAACTCGTTTTTGTGACTCTACTGAAGTTACCCCCCAAAAAAAGAACACGAAGAAGAAGAAAAAAAGAGAAACTTCCCTAAGGCTGTTGTAGCCATCAGATACATTCTCTGAGGTGCTGTTGAGACTGTGCCCACAGTGAGGGCGTGTATCCCATGAAAAACAAATGAAGAACCAAAAAAACGAAATTTTCTAATGCTGTCATTGCAGTCCTATACAGGACACTGCAGTACTGGTGCCCCTCGTGGAATCCGCCCTGCCTCACTGGCAGGGCACGAACAGGACAATAAAACAAGAAAAACAAAACAAAAACATGAGCAATCATGTTCCACACATACTGGCGAGATACATACCTCAAAGCACAGGTGTTACTTCGACCCCCCTGAGGACCTACCACGACGAAAACAAATGAAGAGCAAGAAAAAGAAAAAACTCCCCTTATGCCGTGATCAGGGTTCGATACAGAACACTACAGTGACAGCGTGACTATGACGTCAGTGAGGCAGTTACCTGCCTCACATGGAATCCGCCCTACCTCACTGGCAGGCCACGAGAAGGAAACAAAAAAGAGAAAAACAAAAACTGAAACAACAGCACCCACATTCCGCACATACTGGCCAGATACATTCCTCAAAGCACTGGTGTGACTTCCACCATCGTGAGGGCCTTCCCGGACATCGCAGGATTCGAAGCTCTCAGTTCTTTTTTTTCCCCTCTCCCACGGGGGGCCATGGGGTCCCAATCTTTTCTTTTTTTTTTCTTTTCTACCAACCCTATGATGGATCCCCGAACTTTTCGGATGAGGTCATTTTCCCAACTGGGACTACAGCTTGGAAAGGTAGTGGTGGTTTAATGAAAAATTTTGTATATTCGCAATTGGAAATAGATACAGGTGTCATTCTCAGTCCATTGTTTGAGATGACATCATCTGAATTGCTTCCATTCCAACCAAAACTTTAACCCCTAAACTCTAACTCACACACTTCACAGTTGTGGCAATCGTTCCATTGTTTGCGGTAACATCATCTGAGGTGGTTCCATTCTCACCAAAACCCTAAACAAGTGGTTCCATTCTCACCAAAACCCTAAACCCTTAAGCCCTAACTCGCACACTTCGCAGTTGTGGCAACCTGGCCTATGGCGTAGATCTTTGCATATGGTCGGTTAGTTGGCACCATTAATGCATGGTCTTCTTGTCTGACTGAGGCGTGTCAATAACCAGACACAATCCCACAAACCTTGAAGACTCCGGCTTGAAACAGCAATTTTGACCCCCCACCTGCTGCCACTGTATTGATGTCCAACTGCGGCGCCTGTTCACGCGCGCACAAGCATGCATACAAACAACGTGCAAAGGACATAGGTCTGAAAAAATAAATACGTGAATAAATAAATGGCCAATTGTGATGCATACAAAAACCACAAAATGAAATGAGCAAATCAGCAATGGAGAAGTTGCTAAAAGCAAAGAAGGATTGAAAACTCTGTAGTAAGTGCTAATTGTTGCGAAGTTGATTTGCAGTTGCAAAGTTGCTTGGCACATTGTGATGCATACCAAATCCACCACAAAATGAATTGTGCAAATCAGCAGTGCAGAAGTTGCTAAAAGCCAAGAAGTATTAAAAACTCTGTAGTGCTAAGTGCTAATTGCTGCAAAGTGGATCTGGAAAAGTAGATTTCCGCAAACTCGCAATCAATGTTACAAATACAACAAGATAGTTATGTAAATGTTGAGCAGGGAGAAGAGGAAGAATAGAGATATGGACAATTGATGAACAACTGTGTAAATCCCTCTCGCTCTTCTTGCAGATCTCACACATCAGGTGACCCATAGAGATGGGGGATAAGTGGACAAGGACTTGATAGCCACTGTGATGATGCCATGAATCTCACTACGTTCTTCACCCGATACAACGTACGGTCATTATTGCTGCATTTAGACTGAAACATAATCCCCAATACAACTATAATGACCGTAAAATTCGGCGTAAATTTTATTCAAATTTCAAATGAAGAAGGAAGCGTTGCCATTGTCCATTGAGGACAATTAGCGGATGAATGAAGAATCCTGCTTGTTGCTATCATTCTCTAATCATTGAGTTTCCTGGATGCGAGTGATTCCTGAATGCAACTGTGCAAGTACCTGTAATCATTGTTTCAATAGGGGTTCTTCTGTTTACTCTACCTTGTCATCTTGTTCTCCTTTTTCTTGACCTTTTTCTCCTTTTTTTGACAAAAAAAGCTCTGATCTATTTGTGGGTAGCAGTGCATTTCCAAAATAAAAAAGAAGTTTAAAGAACAGGAAGAAGACGACTAGACCCTTGACACGATCCATACCTGAATAGCCACTCCAGCTGTGTGTGTCTCAAATACTTGTTCATAATTCCCGTCATATCGGCTTACATCAGTTGATGTCCCACCCATATCAAATCCAATCACCTGTTGACATTGGCAACAAAAGCCAGCAAAGAGCACACATTGCAAACAAGAAAGTATGATTGTACCCTCGCTACGTCCTTGACTTAATTTATTTTATTTTTTCCCTTATCAAGTTGAACATTATTAAAAACGACAAAACACTGAAAACAGGCTGCCTCTCTCTCTGTTTCTCCTATTCTTCATCTGTCTGTTGCAATTCATGTATTTACCTCAAACTCTAGTATTGGATCGTCAATAGAACTACGTGCTTGGGCAGTCATAGCCACTTGACAAGGAAGACTCCACATAGCTGGATCTGGTCGATCATCTTTATCCAAGGCTTCATCGTATTGATAGTCACCTCCCTGAGGATCTTTTTAGACGAAGTGAAATACAATAAAAATCTGAAAAGAAAATTTGAATTTTCTTGTTCTCATTGCAATAACCCATGTAGTAAGCCTCGTGGAATCTGAAGGCCTCGCCAGGCCACACCTGGGCCCAGGCCAAAACAGGGGAAAAGACTCCAGCAAAGATTCAGGGCCTGGACGAGGAACAGTTGACAAAAAGTCAACTGCCGGAAACCCCAACAGTCAAAGTCAAGTGTACCCAGCCCAGGCCGCCAGTCGGACACGCACAATTGTTTGTATGCAGGTACCCAGACAGCATCAGGTCCAAGGGGGGAAATCTGCAACTGTACAATCCAGGCCTTCGGCTGTGAAGCAATCTGGACAACTGAGGGGAGGGGACATGAGGCCAAAGAGTCTCCTCAAACGCTACTTAAAGACTGGCCTCGAGGTGGTCAACATTCGTTCTTGCTATGCTGCTTTGACGCTGGCTCAACTTTGACTAGACGCTGGCTTTATGCAGGCGCGACGCTGGCTACATGCTGGCTGCGCACAGGCGTTGCGGACGACGGCACGATGTCGATGCAGCATGCTGGCGTTTCTTCTGTGTGCCAGGCATGATCATGTGGCGCTGCCTCTGGTCTACCAGGCATGCTGACATGGCGCTGCCTCTGGTCTACACAGCATGCTGATGTGGCGCTGCCTCTGGACTACATTGCATGCTGATGTGGCGCTGCCTCTGGTCTACATTGCATGCTGATGCGGCGCTGCCACTGGCCTACACTGCATGCTGATGTGGCACATGCCTCTGGTCTTCATTGATGATGTGGCAGATGCCACCTGTCTCGACTGCTGACCTGGCATTGTCCACGCTGTCTACATGAGGTGACTGGTTGCGAGGAGGAAGATCGGGATCTGTGGATGAAGGAGATCGGGTACTCACCTGAGGATTGACGTTGTCACTGGAATCTGCTGTNTGAGGTGACTGGTTGCGAGGAGGAAGATCGGGATCTGTGGATGAAGGAGATCGGGTACTCACCTGAGGATTGACGTTGTCACTGGAATCTGCTGTCTTCATGGTCTTCACGGAGTAGGAGTGCCACGTGGCACTATTGTGTGTGAACAGGAACATACTTGTTATCATTGTTGACGTGGAGAGGGAAGAAGCCCGGAGAAGGAGAGGGGTCTGAAGGGATTATTACTGTGTAATCTTTCATCTTCTCCTTTGTCTCTTCCCCATCCACTCTCTTCTTGTGATGGTAATGAGATACCGTTTGGAGACTTTGATGCAGATAATGAGACAACTGATGTTTGACGACTTCTGAGTATCTGCCAGACTGGGTTCATCACAATTTGGTATTGGAGCAAACTTCTTCATCGCAATCTTCTGTTTGCTGTCAGGTGCTGACGTGGCACCCAGGTAAGTGGGAAGTGCCGCATGTGCAAAATGAAACACGTCTATTAACGCGCGCGGTAAATACCACAGGTCTAGACATTGTAATATTGCACGTGCGAGCAGCTGTCCCTTGGAGATGATGACGTGGCGGCATTGAAGACTTGCACCGGCAAGAGCTTCGTTGGCAATGTGCTGACGTGGCGCTGGTGCAGAGAGAGATTGGTAGGCTGATGTGGCATATGATGGAATGCAAGGCATGGTCTGATGTGGCACGTACCTGTGTTGTTGTTACCTGCTGATGCTTCAATTGACGTGGCATACCAGTGTTGAGTGTGTAGCAGACCTGCACTGCAACGTGGCATCCCTCCTTGGAGACCGTGCCGGTCCTTGATGCTGACGTGGCAGTACTGCTGCATTGGCATGCCAGGGGTGACACGTGGCATGCACACAGGCTGCTGAGAGTGTGAGTGTGCACTTGTTGTTGATGGTTGCATTGCTTCTGCAGATGGTAGAAATGAGGATAACCATTGATTGTGTGGTTGTGTTGGCTCTCTACTTACCTGTTGATTGTTTGTGGTTGTTGTGTGTACTTACACATGTGCTGTTGTCTTGACCAGATTGGCCGTGGCTGCGGTACCTGTAATTGTAGGACGTCATCAGAAAACAGACGGCAAAGTTAAGATAGAGAAATTGATTGAGAACTCATTTCTTTTGTTGATTATTCTTGCTGTAGAAGTTGCGTGTGATGTGGAATTTATTTTTGTCTTCTGATTTTATTTATTGTGCGGCATCTACACGCGTAGGAAAATGAACTCTCTCTGGAAATGTCTGCATGCCTCGATCCTGACGCGGTTCATTCCACTTCTCTTCTTCCCTACCCCTCTCATAGTCTATGCTGATGCCGAAGGAGGAGAATTGAAAACTCGTGGTCAAATTGAAGTAAGAAGGCAAACTTTAAAGGGCCTTCTTATACAATTGCTTGGTGAGATACACGGTGCCGGTCCAGCAGCTGAACAGCATGTCCACAGACAGTTCAACCTGCCAGCTGCAGAGGGTGAACTGGATGCCGCCGAGACTACTGTTGAGATGACGGAAACTGGAAAGCGAATCGAGAAACTCATCAGACAAGGGCGTAATGCTCTTCACCGGCGCCGAGCAGTTGGAAAGAATGGACCAAAAAGGAAAGGAAGAAGAGAAGAAAGAAGAAAAGAAAGTGGAACAACAACTATCTGTGGAACTAATTGAGGAGAATGTCAGACAATTAGAAAATACTCTAAAGGAAGAGAGAAGAAAGATTGAAGAGTTCCGAAGAAGGAAAGAAGAGAGAGAACAACAAGAGAAATTGTTGGAGGAAATGAGGGAACGGTTTCACTTTGAGGAAGTTGAGACTGATTTGTCGACTGTATTGCGATCTATCATGACTTATCTTGTTCATCTTGAAAGGAAGATAGACTCTAACATTGTCTCATTAGAAACTATGATGAGAATGGTGAAAGGTAAGGACAAGGTGAGCTTTGAGGAGGAGAAGAAGGGGGAAGTAGAAAAGAAACCACCCCAAGAGAAACTCCTGAAAAATGCAATGCCGAAGGTGACGCAAGACAAACCCGGTCCCTCAAAGAAAGAATCCGAGGAACCCGCCGAGAAGAAAGTAGAACCCGCCAAAAAGGAAGAAACTACAATGAACCCAGATCGTGAAGACACTTGTCAACAATGCAAGCCCAGATAGATATCAACCTGCTGATGATTGTCAATAATCATAATTGTGTCCAGATAGAATGAAATGGGAAAACATACATAGACGAAGGAGAGAGGAGGGAGAACACACTTAGAGTGGAGAAAGAAGACAACGCCCACTTCTACTTCGGGCTCCCTCCTCGATCGCTACCTCAATAATCAATAGTCTGAACGCGAATCTGAAATTCTATCACAATGTGCCACGTGGCACGTAAATCAGTCCTCATCAGCGAGCTGGAGCAATGTCGACGATAACCAGGTACGTATCTACTATCGCCCCACAGTCATGATCTCTTCCCGAGTGACGATGAATCAGAACAGCAATACCAGTCATGTAGCCTTGCCAAGTCAGCAACAATACACGTGGCAGCGGCCACGTCAGCGGCGGCGTGTGGCAGCTGCCACGTCAGCATGCCCAGAAGACAATTGCCAGCTAGCCACCATGCCAAGCCAGCAGCACGTCGCCGTAATCGCCCAAGTGCCAGCGTAGAGCCAACGTCCAACCAGCGTCGCAGCATCACGTTAGCGTCGTAGTCAACGCGTGCAGTCAGCATTGGCGCAAGACAGAATGTTCTCCAAGCCAGGAGGTCCAGGCTTATGTAGCGTTGATGCGGGGTCTGGACCCCGGTTGCTGCTTCCCTCGGCCATCGAGATCACAAGGCAAATGACGGCCCAGATAGGCCTGAAACCGAACTCCCTGTGGCCTTGATGCTGTTTGGGTACCTGCGCACAACAAGTGAGTGTATCCAACCAAGGGCCTGGGCCTGGTACCTTTGACAGTTGACTTAGACTTTTGACTATCCAAGGCAGTGCATGGTCACACTGCCTGGCACAGGCCGAGTTTCGCCTGTGTAGTATGAGCTCCGTTCGAGGCCCAGACTGTTGCAGAACACGGGTTACTACAGAAACGGTCAAAGAGGTAGAGAAACCAAAGAAGAAAGAAAAGGTTAAGATGAAACTTCCTTTTACCTACAACGGAAAGAGGGACGAACACTTGTTGCTCTGGATCGCTGAGATCCAGAAATATTGTGGGACTGCACCGATATAGCCGGAAAGCAAAGTGGCTTTTTTGACTTCTTGTATTGGCGAAACCGCCAAGGAATGGGTATATTGTCCGAGGTCAACGCTACTGCGTTCGAGGACATCGGTGACTGGGCAAAGACCCTGCTTCTTCGAGAATTTCTCCAGAAGATCAAGGAGAGATTCTTGGATAAGACGACGGTCGACAAAGCTTTCGATGAGTTCACCACCATAGGGCAGAAACGTTGGACCTCTGTAGATGTGCTATCTCGTGAAGTGGATCGGTTGCTCCAGGTACCTGGATTGAACCTACACGACAACCCGGTCCTTCACATCTTCTCGCGAGCTTTGCCTGAACCCATTCGAGGACATCTTGTGGTTGAGGCAAAATCCGGTAAGTATAACTACCGACAGTTCCGTGACCTTGTGCTCCAAAGGGAGCAAATGACTGCACAGGTAAAAGGGACGTATGCATCCGTGGTTAAGACAGGACCAGTTGGTGGGTACGGGAAGCGGGTCCTTTGGCG